GAAAAGCAGTTTATGACGATTCTTGGAGACCAAGACGTTCGTGTTTTCTGTTATCCTCATATTACTTCTTGAAAAGTGTGCCTGCAGGTAGTACATAGTCTCAGTGTTGCACAAATGAATGATTCCAACTCCATACTCTGCACGAGAGTCATGATCAAACACTGCCTGTAATAAGTATCCAACCCTACACAGATATGCCTGCCCTTCTATTTGACCCTTTCAGATAACTAAACAGCTGAAACTGTCACTTGGTATACACCAAATAATAGGGGCATACATATAGTAAGGAAAGTCTCACTTTTCCTACTATATATAGTAGGGAAATATAAAAATTACAAAATATTATATATATTTTATTAATATATGATGTAATAAACATAATACATGTTACACCACTGCAAAAGTGTTGCAGTAAAGTTGATAAAACTTATGCTCCTTGTACTTGTTTTCATCTTCAACATTTGTTAGTGTCTGTGCATAGCAGCTTTTCCACTGGAACTGTAAACCCTGCAATACCACATGTATGACTGCTGGGAAAAGATTTTCTTTTTTGCTTTATATGGGCTCCTAGAAATAATTATGTACTAAAGTTGGAAAATTACTGTATTCACATTGTCCTTCATCCAATAAACAGGTATCCAACAAAGTAATGATGGAAGTGTTTTACGTTGCTGACTGCGCTGTGTTGATTGAACTATTTAGCAAATTGTTAGTCTATATTGAGAAAATAAATAGCTAGTAAATGTACAGCGTCTCATGGATATCTTCTTTTAAAAATGAATTTGCTGCATGTACTGGAATGGGATTTGTCCTGTCTAAGCTGATCGATATTGTTGCAGAACCTAGTAACAATTTCAGAATTTTCAGCTCATCCAGCACATGTACATGAAGCTACAACTTCTTTGACTGCAGAGTTATAAGAAAGACAGTTGCTCCCTGACTCTGGTGGGTGGTGCCGCGTGGCTGGCAGGCAGTCGGTGGTGGTGAGGGTGGGGACAACTGTCTGTCGCAGCTGTCTGTGGAGTTGTGGTGGTTGTATTAGCAGAGTTCAGTGCTCGCCTTCTGTGCAAAAGGGCCTGTGGGAGAAAGAAAGGTGCAGATGGTTACTGTCCCAGAGCACCTCCGGGTAACATAAAGGTAAAATTGCACGTGTTGTGTTCTTATGCCACTGCCAGAGTTATACTGAGGGAGTGAAATTGTGAATGCCGTCCTGGAAGGGGGTGTACTGAAAGAGGGTAAGCCAATTGCTTTGCCTGATCTGATCTGTACCTAGTTATTATGAGATGCCGGGAGCGTGTAACAGTGGTGGCAGAATAGTGCATTTGAGCAGGCAACAGCAGTAAGTACTGGGAAGTCATTGGAAGCCACTGATAGTGATTGAGAAAAGGATCTAGCATTATTTCTTCGTAAAACTTAAGTGCCTTCCGAACATGACCTTTCATCATAAACTGAAGTGCAAAGGCTTTGATTAAGGGTCAGCACAAAAGTTTCGGTAATGATAAAGATTCAGTCTTCTGAACTTTGACAGTGTGTGTGGATGTGGCTTAGACTGCCACGAATGACTGAAAGAATTTTTTTTTTAAATCATATAAAGCTGCATTATACTAAAGGACAGTTAATTAAAGCTGAATTTAGCATTTATGCTGAGAGAAATTTGACGTTTAGATATGTCTGTGATAAATGCACTAGAAAGTATAAAGATAGCTACTCATTGCATATTGTTCTATATGAGACTTAAAGAAAATGAAATTAGTATCCACTCCACTGCACTACTGTGCTTCCTAGTACAGCAAGCTGTGGTGTTTACAAAGTAGCTGTATTATTTTACAAACCAAATCACTGGAATAAATACTTGTCATAAACTTTTTGCATTTGATCTAGGTTACAAGCTGTCTTTCTTGCTTACTTTTTTGATCTCTTCATACATCTCTTGTCTGGGAAGGTAAGGCTGTAATGAGTGTTATTCCAAGGAAGCTCAGTCTTACCCCAATTCTGAATAAACGAACTGTTCAGAGGTTTGCATTTTGTTCAGGAAAGCCTAGAGCAAATAATGATAAAACAGGAATTCTAACAGAATAATGGATGTCTGAGATTAAAATCTGCCTTTTTGTCTGTATATGTATTTTGTAGTTATTTTAGAATACTAAAGAGGACATTAGGGAAAAGTTGGTTTGTGACAAGGTTTTAAAAAGTACAGCAGTTTGTTTAATCAGTAATGTACTGGAAGAATATTTGCTCTTTCAAATCCTTTGTATTTCTTTTTTTTCTCTGTCATTTTGTGAATTGGGACTAGAGATGAGTTGTTTCTTATGTTTTATATTTGGTTGCGAATTGTCTGATTTTGTGTTTGTAATGATGTTTTCCTGGGCCTGCGTGGAAGTCTTGTAATGGGACTCTGGTAATTACAGTAATCTGAGAGTATGTTTGGGAACTCAACCGACAGACAACACGAAAGGGACCAGACTATATCTCCTATATATGTATTTACATACACATATATGACTTCTCTTTTTAAGAAATATTTTAAAACTCTTTCCAAAAAAAAAAAATTTGCAGAGTTGGATTAAATAATCCAGTTTCCTTTCAAACAAAATACAAAATATAATTCAGAGAGGAGAAGCACAGTCTAATGCCAGTCCTACCAAACATAGTATTTATATGCATTTGTCTGTGTGACCACTGATTATAAAGTGATTAAAATGAAATGAAAACAAACAAACAAACAAAAAAACTTGTAGCTGAACTGAAAAGTATTTTAGAACTGAAAACTGAAGTTCTTGGATACTTTTTCTACTCCTTTCATTATGACACTAGAGAAATTGATCTTGGAACTGCAAACAAGCACCAGAAAATTTTTCCTGTATTTGGAATTACAAAATGTGCTTTTGTTATACGGAAGGCTTATACTGTAGGTTTGTCAGGTTTTGATATCCCTTTCCACTTCTCTGCTGGGTCAGAAATATAGAAATAAGTTCTCATGAATGGAGACTTTATCCAGGAAAAGGAGGAATGAATATTTTACAGTTCTAAGTGTATGTTTGATTCCATTGATTTCAATAAGCATAAAATATACTTGGGCTTCATCTTGCTTAAAGCACACCGTGGTATCATGCAAAAACAATTACACATTTTAAAATATTTGCTAAACTGCTTCTGGGTTGCAAATGCGTCTTCCTATAAATCAGTGATGAAGAAGGTTCATTCTTAAAATATTTGTTTGTGTTTCTGGAATAAATATCCATAATAAATAGAAAATGGAAATACCTTGCTTCCATGTTGGATGAGATATTACCTGTTTGACCCTGACATATAGAACAACTTTTTAGCATCTTAAGATGGTGTAGAGTTTTGGGCCTGGCATTGATACCCTGTATTTCTATTTTTAAGAAACAAATCTGCTGTAAGTTATTTCCCCAGGCCCCAAAAGGGTAAGATGGGCATCACCGACAAGGAAATATCAGTAATTTTATTTTCATTGGTGACTTGAAGTATTTACAGGTAAATTTTAGGTATTAATTTTGTATTGAAAATTTTATACTAGCGTTGTGTAGAAAGGCAAATGCCTCAGAGTTGCTAATATTGTATTGTGGAAAAAATCCAAATGTAGATTGCATCCAAATGAGGACTCCTACAGATTTCTAAAATATGCTGGTCATCATTAAATTAATTATAGCATTTCTTTACTATCTTCAGGCTTTTGTGGGGAAAAAAATTGTTCTTATGGTAGAGGATCAAGGAATAAGAGCTGACTGAGAAAAGCTATGGTTCTACTTTGTCACGTCTCTGTGGTAGATTTTTGGTTGGCCCTTTCTAACAACATGTTGTATTTAGGATAACAGACAAGTAAAATTATCTTTCTTTTAAAGGAAGCTTTTCTTTTTGTATAGTAAGTTGCAGCTAGAATAAAAGAATTGAGGAACACATTTGGAGCCATGGGACAAAGTGAGTCCTTTACTGACAGATTTGCAAGATGAGTTTGAGTTTTACTTTGAAATCAAGCCAAAAATTTGTCCTTGGGGGGCTGTGCTGTAAATGGATATCTGTTATTTAGGCTAGGTAATGGAACAGATGTGGATGCTCAGTACATGCCTCCCTTGTGTGTTACTGAAGCTGGCATCCTTTTACCAGCAAGCTAATCCAATTGGCTGTTTTGGCTCAGGCAGGCCATGTTAGAGGGATGTCACAGACGTTTTCTTACACTTTTTCTGTCTCATTTTTGCTGTTTAATCAGTTCTCTGTTCTCAACCAACATTCAAGAATAAAATTGTATAGACACTAAACCCACCCCCTCAAAACCTGTACTGTATTTTGGGAAATACAGAAGTAAGAGGAAGTCAAGTTGTCCCATACTTTTTCTTGTGGAATGAAAGTAGTTGTGTTCAACGGCAGCTTCGCCCTGCAGAAAATGCAGGCACAACTGGAGGTCCCATGTAGGGGGGAATATAGGGACTTTCCTTTTAGGAGGGCCTACAAATGTCTGTCACCTCAGAGGTGCTCTGGAAGGGGTAGGAGGAGATGGCACTGCACATTGTGTGAGACTGGGGATCAGGACGTCTGTTGCAGATCAGCCTGCAAAGGCAAGTACTTGTTTGGAGAAAATACATTGTAAGGTACTGTGTTGTTTCATTTATGGTTGAAAATTTTGGTTCTGGGTAACAACTCTAGATGAAGAATTCTGGCATTAAAGTTAAAGCCAAAGAGTCTGGTTTTAGGAAAGGAACAACTGAGCACAGTCTTTCTCCCTTTAAAGAAGCAGGGAAGTTCAGAAAGATAAATGAGTGGTGGTGAGAGACTTTCTTCACAGGAGCTAGAAGATATTGTGCTTAAATAATGAATTAATTGTTATTAAATTATACATACGTATGTACCTCCCTTTAGTCTCCAAAGTGTAGAAAGTGTGAGGAAAAAATGCATGAGCACTTATCTCATTCTTATTGGAGAGTAACAACAAAAAAATAATGTTTCATTCACCTTGGGTTTTTTTTTTCTGCCTCTCTCAGGTCCGCACCAGTGTCCTCCTACCTGATCACAAGGAGCCAAGAGCAGATGTTGGAGTAAGCAATTTTTTTTCATTAATCGTTTTTTTTTAACCTCATCAGCAGACACAGACACCTAATGAAGAGAAATGGTGTTCTGCCTAACTGCTAAACAGGAGCTGGCAAGCTTTTTTAGTAGCAGAAGTTGGGTTAAATGAATAAAAAAATCAAGGCAGGAGTAATAGTCTCAGTGATTAATAATAGTCTCAGAGATAGTCTCAGTAATAGTTTCAGAGATAGTCTCTACAACTACCTGAAAGGAGGTTGTAGTGAGGCAGGTGTTGGTGGCTGCTCCTAAGTAACTAGCTATAGGAAGAGAGGCCTCAGGTTGCGTCAGGGGAGATTTAGATTGGCTATTAGGAAAAATTTCTTTACTGAAAGAGTGGTCAGACATTGGAATAGGCTGCCCAGGGAGGTGGCTGAGTCACCGTCGCTGGAGGTGTTCAATAAACGTGTAGATGTGGCACTTTGGGATATGGTTTAGTAGGCGTGGTGGTGTTGGGGGGACGGTTGGACTTGAATTTAGAGGTCTATTCCAACCTGTGATTCTGTGATTGATGCAAACCCATTCACATATTTCTTGAAAATCCTTTTCGACTGAAATTATCCTGAGGCAGGCACAACTATCTAGACTTCCTGCTGCCATACAAGCAATCTGGATGAGACTGAGTGCTTGGAGTTGCATTGAGCCTGGCCTATCCCTTTCTAGTTTTTATGCATAGCGTATAAAAAGTTCGGCTGTAGGAGTTGCCTTTGGGTTCATTTTGAGAAATTGCACTGGCGACATGTGGAGGATGTTTTCTGTGTAGGTCTGTAACATTTTTGGCAAAGGTATTGGGATGTCATTTCTGTGTCTCAGAGAAGGCTAGAACCTCCCAGATAATATAGACACCTCATGGAAGTGGGAAATGTTGGTCCTGATAGAGCTGAGTAAAAGACCAAACACTATCTGGTGCAGGTATAGGACCTATGTCTGCAAACATTTAAAATAACTGGATTTTTAAATTTTTAACCTAAGGTGTTGACTTTCCTGCGTTACCAGGGCTTCCTTGGCACAGTTTCCAGGACTTCAGCTAGTGTTTGAAAAATCTGTAGCTTGGCAGCAATTTCAGTCTTAGTGAAATAATCAATGTGTTTCAACATTTCATATAGCTATTATAGAGACTTTTCTCTTTGGCTAGCTGAGATTATTCATCAAACTACTCAAAACACATATCTTAAGATTTATCATCGTTAAGTACCCCACTAGCAAAATTACAGAGGGACATTACTCTGTAATTAGCATTACAGCAGCAGTTCTGTTTAAAGCCTACTTTTCAAGTCTCTCGAAGTCACATGTGCAAGTTAGTTTGATTTGTAGACTGCCAGTTCAGGCCTCAGGGTAGACTATTGGTATCTAAATAAGTATGGAAAAAATATTCTCCAGCATTGTTTGAAATTGGACCCCTTGAACATTAGCGTAACTCTCTTCGTTTGAGTCATGGGATCTTTCAGAAGTTTATTTAATTTTGCAAATAACACCTAATTGCATTGTCAGGCAAAGAAAATTTTTTTTCTAAATAAGCATAAAAATATGAAACAGGAGATGGTTAGAGGGTACAATGACCAAAGCTCCTAGCTTGTGACAGAGAGCAGTGTAGTTGCTGCTTAGCCCTGATCATATGAGGGCTCTGATTTAGGGTTCTTAAATGGATTTATAGTTCTGCTGTGCTGGAGAAAGAAGCCCCAGATGACCCAGCCTGTATCAGTTTCATTTCAAATATTGCTTTCCCTCTTTCCAAATGGTAAGCTTGCAAATACAAGCACTCGAGTGGCCTGAAGTGCCAGAATAAAGGCTGCTATATAGACACTGTGCTGCAGAATGTGTTCTTATTGTACTAAGAGGGACGTGCGCTTGTAAGAAGGTAACTAATCTGAGCTAACTGTGCCACCACAGAGTTTTAGTGAAGAAACACTGTCATGTTGACTGATCTAAAGGAAGACAGAACTATCTGTGTGTTCACTCTAGCAAGGCTGTGCATCACCACGTGTCACACCTGGATGTATTTCTTGGAGAAGTACGTGTTTCATTTTGGCAGTGAAGACTAACCATGATCTTTGCTTGCAGGGCTGTGGTATTTTTCTCTGCATATATTTCCTATAGGCCTTTTTTCTTCCTTAATTTCCTGTTCAGCACTTCCCAAATCCACTGTTTTCCCCGCCTTCCCTAGACTTTCAGCTTCCATCTTTTTTCCTTTGCTGTTTAAGTATGAACAAAAATACAGAAAATCTAATCCTGTGTCATTGATAGGAATGAGCCATAACTGATGACTTAGTTTACCAAACTGGAGGCAAATGTTGGTGCTTACCGAAAGCGAGAGTTGTACTTTGAACTGTACGTTTGATATCCAAGTAAACCTGTCTTAGTGTAGAGCTTTATTGTTAGCATTCAAACACTCAGTATCAGCTGGTCTTCCTGAAAGAAAGCAGGAAAGCAGGCTGCAGGGTTTTTTTTACCAGAGGAAGTTACGCTTCTCAGTAGCAACAAATTCTCTTCTCCTTTTCCCTGAAAGGGAAAGTTGTCCTCTGCATGCAGCCTGTGTTGACTCAAAGCAACTTGATTCTTCTTGAATTTGTATATCCAAGAGCATCTTGAATTTGTATATCTAAAAGCATATATAATTTACCCTGGGATTTTACATTGCTATTCCAACAGTAGAGTAAAATTAGTATAATGTAATAAAAGCCAACTTTGTGTGCTTCTTACTGTTTTCTTGCTAAAATTTAACATAATCTTATTATAATTTATTCAGAGCAAGTGATATAAGTTGTACATTTGAAAGATAAATGGGTAGAAGATGACTGTATATTGTTATTTTCTTTCCCATTGTTCCCAGGGCAAGAATACTTCTGTTGGCCAAGTTAACCAAATGAGATCTTAGCAATGTGCAACAGGATGTGAGCAGAGGTTAAAATATAACCAAAAAGCAAAAGATGATGCAGGGGTTTTTTCCTCTTTCCGATATTTTCTTAATGATGTGCGAAGGTGATTTTGATAGAAAGAAAAGATGTGGTCGTATACCTTAATTTAACTTTAGGCATTCTAGTTTCATTAGCATGTTTCTCTGCACTTGTACTGCAATGAGTAGGTCCACCGTAAAGGAAACAAGTACTTACAATCACTGCCATAAACTAGAGGAATATAACATTTCTATTAATAAACTTGCGCTGAACTCAATGTAAAAATTCCTTCTTTGCAAATACAGTCATATTTGGAATACATAGGTGGTAGTGCCTAAGGCTTGAGGAAAAACCATAGCAAGAACAACTTTGATTAAACACTGAAAACTTAGCATTTCTTGTAATCTAGAAATTAGAAATATAGGAAGAAGAAGGTGCAAAATTTTCTTAATGAAAAAGAGAGAGGTTCCTGCCCATAAAACCAGAGTTTAACGAATTACTGATAATCATGCTACAGGCACATGAAAAATTTCTACCTGATAGTGCGTCAAACTAGTATATTGGAGTGTAATATTTTTCTAGTACCAAAGAAGGATTTCCAAGTGAGACTAAAAAAAGTAACAGTCAGAAAAGATAGCATCTCTGTTAATTTTTGAAGTTTTTTCTGTTTTGTTTTGTAGCGAAGCTTCCTGGGTTGTACAACTTTTACAGTAGGAGACTTGGTAAAGTCAAAGGAACAACAGTTGACCCTTACCCTCAGGTAAGTGTTTTCCTCTGTTGTAAACCATGTTGAATTAAAAACCCATGGTGTTTGATGGTTGCTACTTGACTGTGTTTAAAGCTCCATATTACTTCAGGTATATTATATGTCAGTTTGAAGTGCTTCTATTTCTACTATACACAAAGTCAAAATTAAATACCAATTCTTTAAGATAGAGCTTGCCATGTGTCAGATTAGAAAAGGTTAGTATTTTTTGGTATTACAACCTATGGAAGAATAGCAGGGAACTTGAAGTAGGGGATGTTCTTTCAAAGCTTCCTTTAGAAAGGAGCACAAGCTTCTCAGTTTCATTTGATGTGTGTGGTTTAAAGAATTAACACTGTACAGTTTGCTGGTTTGTTTACTAGACACATTTAAAGATGATGGACCTAATGACTCGAGGCTTCTCTCATGAAATTTTTTGCAGTCTCCTAAACTCATTGTTACATGCAGCCAAACTCAAATGGCAGTAGGGGGGTGCTGTACAACTCTAATTAGTGACACAGGGTACAAAGCTGCAGGAAAGTCAGAGACAGTGTTCAAGAACTAGGGCTGAGCTGAACAGGTGTTTCTTAAAGCTCTGCACTGAAGGAAAAAATTCAGCTTTCACCCCTGATACTGACTTGCATGGCTTAAGCTGAATGAAGATACAAATCAAAACCTTTAGAGGGTTAGGGGAAACCTTGTAGGCAGCGGTTTTCAGAACAATTTTGTTGGATTTCGTATAGTGCAAGGATTTTGTTGAGCTGATTTTCGCAAACACAGTGGAGGCTTATTTGATATTACTGGGTAGGTACAGGTGAGCTTCACAGAGCAACTGCCCAAACTCACTGTGTTTCTACATAGGGAAAATTTTGGGAGGAAGGAAGCTGTGACTACGAAAACTGAGATGCTGGTCTATGTGTTGCCTGTGATATTGTGCATAGGTGCTGTAGAAAAGTTGTGTTCCATTCTTTATACTGCACAAGTGAAGCCAGCCTTGATTTGGCTAAAGGCCCAAATTGCAACCCATTCAGTGATGTTGTGGTACTGTCACTATGTCAAGGATACTGTATTTTTTTGAAATGGAAACTTCTTGAAGTATTTTGGTTTTATTACTGCACCTGCCTTCCTATTATAACAATAGTAGCTGCACAGGTGTGTGTAGTTTACAGGACAAAGTTATCAAAATGCTTTGTTTTTAATTTCTCTCAAACACAGGAAATGCCGTGCCTAACAAGCAGATAACTTTTGTTTTCTAACAAACAATACCAATCAGATCAAACATGAACAGACTGTTGTCTATGGAAAGGTGTGTCTAGATAAACAAATGCCAACTTGGTGTTTGTGAGAGTCTGTTCTTTCAGAATTTCAAGTTGTCTTGAGTACTTTGGGACAAACTTTGCCTCTCTGATTGACATATTGATCTGAAAGAATCTATTGCCCTAAGAACATAAAGTTTCAGGAGACTATGAAAAGAGTAAGTATTTTGTATCTAACCTGTCTAATTTGTAAACAAAAACTTCAGATGGATAACTAATATGCAATAGATGACAGATTGTCAATTTAGTTTCAGCTGAACCTCTAAGCCTTTTCAGATTTGCTTTTAATTAATGTTTTTAGTGTTGTATGTCCTCTTTGTGCAGCAAAGAGTAGAAGACAAATATTATACCAATTCAAATTAATTTGCATATATATTAGATAGTAGGTTTTAGTTGGCTGGATTTTTTTTTTAAGAAAAAAAATCCTAACCTTTTAAATATGGGATTGTTTCCTGATTATGGCTGTTCAGCAGCACAAAATCAGTAGAAATTATCGACATTTCTTCAATGGCAGTTTAAGCAGAGCAGTCTAGTAATCTAAACTTGCTTTCCTCTAATTGCCCTATTGTGTTAGTACCACTCTGGAGTCTCAGGGATATACCAAGGACCTTGTCAGAGCATGCAATTCTATTTAATTCTTGTTGATATACTTTGGATGGGAGTTTACCAGGGAGTGCCTGTGATACAGAGATACTCCTTTGTTAGATCTGAAGTAGAGATTTAAGGATCTGGGAATAGCTCTGTGATGTGCTTTGTGAATACTGTCGTAATTATGGAATCTGGTTACATTTTTCACTGTTTTTTTCAGTTATGTCTTGCAGTAGTCTTTCTGAGCTACAATGTAATATTATAAAAGTGTTTTTAAAGGAATATTCTTGTATTTTTCTCTGTTATTTTGTGGAGGGCTGGCATACATCTACAATTCCTTACAGTTGACAAACTGTGCTCTGCTTTTTCCCTCTCCCCACCATGATACCTTAATAGTGATTAGGAACACAAGTTACAAACCTCTGCAAATGAAGTTTTGATTTTGATTGTCCTTTTTTCTCTATAAAGGTGCCCGAAACTGGTGACTGTGTGTTTTTTGTAGATGTCTGTACCTATAGATATAGGCAATCATCAAAACTTGAACAGGTCAATTTGTAGAATTACCTCAGTGCTGACAATGTACACAAGTGATGTTGGCAGAGGAATTTAGAGACTTGAGGCTGCAGTTTCCAATATGAAATTTATAAAAATGAAATGTCTTCTATAGATGCAGATGTTTTATTTTGCAATGGTAATGCAATGCCACTTGCTTCCAGCTTTCTCATAGGGTTGTGATGATGGACAGGATAAAATGGGCTATTGAATAAAACAAAAGCCATATTCAATAGCAGAACATTTCTTAATATTGACTATATGTTTCAGTGTATCCAATTGAAAAAAGAAAGCCAGCATGCATCCGTTTTTCTTTGCAAAGGAGAGTTAGGTATACTGGTTGCTATTTCAGGAATTAATACCAATATTTATTTTTTTTCAGCTGATTTACATTTTAAGTTCATTTTGGAGGATTTTTTGCCATGCCTGTCTTTTAAGAACACTGTAATGTGTTTTTTAGCTTGTTTGAGGTCTATGGCCTTTTGTTCAGGGCTAGCAATTAGTACTTCCATTAGCTGTTTCCCCTGTGGTGATAGTTTGCTCTTTTTCCAGGAAGGTCCTCCTTAGCTTAGGTGATTTTGATACGATTTCCAGTAAGTTTCATGTAAGAAGCAGCAAAGGAGAAAGATAATAGTGCTCTTTTATGCTCACTGTAAAAATAAGGTCCATCTGTCTGAGATGCTTTGCTTAGTAGACATTACAAAAGTGTAAGTAGGCTGCTTCAGTATGAAACTAGGGTAATATCAATAGCACTCGGATCCTTTGGCCCCTTTAAGCAGGAACTTTATAGCAATGGAACTGACTATACAAAGACAAGAACTAGGATGGCGTGCGTGAATTATGCAGATTATCTGAGAGAATGTGCATGTGGATGTCTGTCAATCATGTATTCTACAGACTTTCTTTAAACGTGGCTGTACTTGATCTCTTGGTATCTCTCAGAAAATATCTGTTTTTCTATCAATCTGCTTTTTTTAGCACGCTTATTTTCATTAATCTTGGGCAGGACTGAACCTACTTCCCTTAAATAAAGGCGATAAATCATAGTTATTTTTGGAAAGTTCAAAGAAACAACTCCAAAACTTGATTAAAGAAAGTCCCCCCAACTTCCCTCCCTCCTAACACTGTCCCCCAAGCACCTTGTAGTTCGGTGGGCCAGAAGACATGTAACTGCACTGCAGTAGTAGGTACAGTTGCAATGTTTAACTAAGGAGACAGAATTTGAAAGCAGCACACTAATTTTTGCAGTCATTTATATACATGTAACATATATCGTTAGCAAGTTATAACTATAAAATACCATATATTTAGTTGCTTTTCCCTATTAAGATTCAGTAGAAGTCTGCCTACAACTCGTTTTGCTCGGTCTCTATCCTGAAATTGTTTCTTGGCTGCTTCATGTCATGTCATCCACCACAGGAAGCAGGTAAATAACAGCTTGGCTTTAGAAGCCAGGCAAATCTCCCATAGAGTTGAGGTGAAACGTGTTTTGACACGAAGCTTAATCAACGGCAACTTGAAATCATGAAAACTGAGAAGGAATTGAACAGCACAAAACTTTGTTTATTTACCTTAGAATGCAACGGAATGTTATTTACCAGTGGACTTGTTTAAAAATGGTATTGATTGCAATAGACTCCATTGTGAATTCACAGAATAAACATTTCTATGCAAGTACGATAGGTTTGTGCTTGCATATTTCAAAATATATTGCATCAGCAGAGAAAATTATTTTGTGACAATCTGTATGTTAGTTTGTACTAACTGCATTTGTTGCGTATTATGCATTTATTGCGTATTATGCATTGGAGAACGGGGCTGCCTGCTAGACTGAAAGTCATGCAGTTTGCTTCTCAGGCAGTCACTCACTTTGTCATTTATAATTAACATAGCTATGCAACTGTACAGTCTGCTTCTCTTTTTATTTTTTGTTCTTGAGCCTTTTTTTTTTTTGGAAGAAAGGTAAGGCCATGGGAACCAATTAACAGGCCTAAATTTGCATATTCAACATGCAGCAATGAGACTTAATGAGAACAGCATTGGAGGCAAACGGCTGCTATCCACGGTCCATCTAGCTCACTTGCTTTTCCAACGCCAGCTTTTTACCTGCTTTCCCTCTGGATGCCTGGGTCAACCTTTTATCGCCAGAAGAATAAAGATGGGCACATACTCCTGCTGCTCGTGGTGGTGCTGGCTAGCTTTTAAAGTTCAAAACATACTGTTTCACTCAGAATCACCTTCACAATGTTCATCAGAAGAGGGATCCTTGGTTGACTCTGTCTTAGATGAGTGCGGACTGTCACAGGATTATGGCTATGGTAGGTGGAGTGAGCACTGCAGTATAGAGTCATGCTGGACTGAGCTGTTAGGGATAGACCGAAACATTGCCAGCTTTGCTGCCAAAGCCTGCATCCTATGAAACTAGATTCTAAATCTGGTTTAGAAATCACTCTTCTAACACTTTGTCTCCTTTTCATTGGTCGTATTCCAACTGAAGATGCAGTGAACAGATATCAGGTAATTGGTGCTCCTTGTCCCAGGCTGTTAAAAAAAATCAGCAATTATCCAACTCCGTAAGCCAGCTAGAATTTGAGCCATATACGGGCTTCTTCACACTGATACATGGTTTGTTTTTGGTTTTGTGTTCTAATTTTTATTGCTGTATTCCCCATCCCCACTGTCCCTACGAAGATTTGTCAAGGTGCAATCCTTTGACTGTAAGCAATTTGGTGCAGGGACAGTCTTCACTGCATCGTAAGAGTGCAGAGTGCACTTTTCAGCTTTATTAAACTACAGCAAATAAGCTGATTCTATCCCAATGCATTATGAAGCATTCTAAAACCAGTTAATTATTCTCCTGATGCTCCACTGAACAGTGTCTATGTGTGAGTTTGTGTGCCCAGGCAAATGGTGTGAAGTGTATACATCTATGTGTGTCTGCGCACCATACTGTTTCTGTAAGTGTAAAATAAAATGATACAGATTTTTATCTTATGGAAGTGTGATCACTAGGCTTTTTTATTTTACCCACTGCATCATTTCTGTTTCTCTCTGTCAATTTTTTTCAAGCAAAATTTTATTCTTATGATGTTGCATGTGAGTTTTATATGCACAATGTGTCTGTTGTTTGAAGGCTCTCGTGCACCTGTGGTATTTTAAATTTGCAGCGTCTGACACAGCTAATGATGGTTTCTCCCTGGACATTTATAGAGCCTTTTGTTGATTTGTGTGCCTGTAGCATTCAAAAGAAACTTTGTGGTTTTTGTTTTTTAAATGGCGTTTTCACATTTCCATGTGGAAAGAGAAGAGAATGGAGGAAGGAGTACAACTACAATACAACTACTGTGTAGTTTTACCCTGTTGTATGACGTTCTCTTGCAGATACTGCATGCTTCAGATTGTAATATTACATATGTATTAGACCAGAACAGGAGTGATTTTTGAGAAGCAAATCATTGAAAAAAATTAATTTAAAGTGAAATTAGATGAATATTTTTACCTTGCTCGTGCAGGCAAGCAACACAGTGTTCACTGCCGTACTGAGGCGAAGCCTCTTGTAACAGCAGCAAGGGGGAATATTTAGTGTTCCAAAGAAAGGGAGACAAGGACTGAGAAAGTGTACCTGGCATTTCCGTTTTTATTTTGTTTTGCTTGAGCAACATGCCTCGTTGGCTGGTATTAGTTCATTTGCAACTTGAGCCCCGTTTTGCCCAACATTTGTTTATCCTCTTAATTTACCCTGATGCGATTTTCAGTCGGATCTGTTTTATGTAGGTCAGTCTCAGACTTGTGGATCTCTTTGGCCTTTGAAAAATGTGTTCCCTGAAAAAAGGGTGGGTAGGATTTTACCCCCGGAAGTCAAATGAATGCAACTTTTTCCTTTCAGACCAAGATAACAGCAAAGTGCTATAGCATATTTAAGTCAGCCTGGTAATGAGGTCATCCACTTGATACTTTGATCGGAATACATTAAGTTGCTGAAAAAATTTCAGTCTTATAGCCACACGTTTACTCTGATTTTTAAAGGTATATGTGATTTGCTAACATCTGTTGTATTCCCTTTCTCCTTGGAAATGCTGTAGTCCATTTGCTGAGGGAGCCTAGTATGCACGCTGGTTTGACTTGGGAAGGAGAAAACAGATGAAGTCAAACCACTGAGCTGTAGCAACTCAGAGGAATGTTCTTCATTCAGAAGACATTTAAGCTGTTCTCTGGCATTTCAGAATTACTATGTTTTTTTGCCCATAAACACCCTTTGGACATTGAACCCTTCTTTCTCGTTACTTTTCTTTTGTATACTTTGTTAATTAACGTAGGCTTCTTTGGTTGCAAGGCTATCTGGAATTGGTTCATTTTTAATTGTTCCTTTATTTTATTGTCAGTAATGAATTTGGCTTAGAGCAAATGAAGTAGTGGCACATGTAAAATATGGAGAATTATGTGTATTTTGGAAGGTTTTATGTAAGAACATATTTAATTTGTATAGTTGCAAGATGAGTGCATTCTGCTGAGTCGCATATTAAAGCATAATGGCTTGCAGTTGAAATAATTATTTAGATTTGAAGCTTGAGGGTAGCTATATTTTGAGACTTTACTGTAAAAAAGGGAAGTTTTGATTTAGCATGCTAAAGAAGTATCCATGCCTGAAAAGACTAACATATGTGCTTAACTTCAGTCAGTGTAATGACTTAATGAAGGCCTTACACTGCATGCAGAAATGCAGGTTGTCTAAAACTCTGGGAGCAGAGCTCCGCGCAGAGACAGGGTCCCCCGCGCCTGGGGCATGAGCAAGTGCTGTGGGAGGGAGAGCCTGTGCCTGGCAGCAGGCAGCAGGGCAAAGCCGAGCCGGGGGCTCTCTGCGCCGGAGGGGCAGCGGCCGTTGGCCAGCAGGG